TTGATGAGGAAAGTTGATTCAGCATTTGCATTTGCTTTCTGAGTTTTCAAAGCGTCTACATTCAGAGCTTTTCTGCATGAAACTGTTAATCCATTGTATCTACTTTCGCTTGTCACAGAATTGCAATCCAAGCACTACATGAGCAGCATTTCCTGTCATGCTTTCCATTACATAATCTCTAATTGTGGTATAGCAGAAAAGCACCCACAGAAAAGTAAATTGTGCTTTCTTTCACATTTGTCATTAAATGCTTCATTTTTCTCTCTGAAAAATCTAATCCAAAATGCTGGTTAAACACAGAAACAAAACTTGGAGGGTCACAGCATCACCTCAAATAACCATGAGTGGAAAATTACATGTGCATGGCAAAGACCTTGTGTAGAAAAGCTCTAAGTTGGTTATCATGAAAAAAGTTCTAGAAAGCAGATGAGAATTATTACCTCCGCACCACAGATATGAACCTGAAGTAGAAAGAGAGATGGAATTGTTTCTCTAATGCCACCTTATGAGTTCACAACAGGTAGGAACTTTGAACCTGAGAGCCCTAAGAGTCACAATTCAGCTAGTAGGGCCATTCTAATATGTGTCCATCTATTCCAGAAAGATGGGTATAGGATTGCACAATTGCTCACCATTACATATAGGCTCTCAGTCACAGTTCTTGTATTTATAAGAATATCTAGTACCTAAATACAGAATGCTCAGAGCACTGATGTAAAATTATTATTAATAATAATAATAATAATCAGCAGCAGCAGCATTGCAGAAGTGCTGAATCAAGTAGCAGTTGCTGCACTTGCATTTTCCAAATGCATGGAGCCTGGAAACATTTTGCTGTTTCTTTTCTTTTTGATCAAAATAAAATAAATAAGAGGGCCAAAGTGAGGCTCACAGTAGTAAACACAACTGAAGAAGGCTGCTGCGCTTTGATATGCCAGCAGAGGGCAATATGGGAATGCTTATGCTGATGTTCTCATTTGGATGAGAGGCAAAAATTGCCAAGTGAAAGTAAAATTGCAACAGTTTTCCAGCCAGTATTGTATTGGTGCAAAAACATGTCTTCTTCCAACTTTCCTCAATCTGGTTGACTCCAAATATTGTGTACTGCAACTCCCAGCGTTTCCAGCCCAGATTCTATCAGATAACTAGAACTGAGGCTTGACAAGTAAAATTCAGATTCGACTGGCCCATAACTTACCAGATTGTCAGCAGCCTGATTGATCTCCCACCTTAAAATGGGGGCACAAGCGCAATGTTAAAAGTGGCATGTGAAGCAAGGGTTCAAACAGAACCCCTCTGCTGCTTCTCTCTTCTTTCTCCAATATCATTTTACAACAGTTCAGCAGTGACTTTGAAAACTTGGGTCACTGCCATGCCCTCAGCTAGCTCTGACCACAGATAAGATAACCAGTAGTGGTGCTGCTAGACTGAGTTAACTGCTACACTTTGCCTACACCTTCAAAATTGCTTGCTTAAGCCAGTGGGCTCTGCCACTGATTGTAGACTTTGCTTTGGCTTGCTAAATTCCATTCTGGCTCTGCAGCCCCCAGGGTATTCTGGCACTCAAGCTGAGGTATATTTACCCTTCCCTACCCTCTAAATTTAGGGGCATGGTGGCTTAGTGGGTAAGATGCGGAGCTTGTCGATCAGAAACACTGCAGTTCAACAGTTCAAATCCTTAGTGCTGTGTAATGGAGAGCCCCATTACTTGCCCCAGCTTCTGCCAACCTAGCAATTCGAAAGCATGTAAATGCAAGTAGATAAATAGGCACCACTTCAGTGGGAAGGTAACAGTGTTCCATGCATGAAAGCATCTAGTCATGCCAGCCACCATGGAAGCATCCTTGGACAAGGCTGGCTGTTCATTTTAGAAACAGAGATGAGCACTGCCCCTAGAGTCAGTTAGGACTAGCACACATGTGCAGGGGAAACTTTACCTTTACCTTTACCCCTTAACCTTACCACTATTAGTTTGTGAAGTGCATGAGATAGGCTCAGGAGGCCTCTAACCACTCCAGTGCCATCATTGCCTGTGCATCCTGCAAAGTTAGTGAACTTACTGGCTCAGCAAACTGCTTCAGACACTTGGGAAAGTATTGTGATTTTAAATTCCCCAGATGTACAGCCTGGACTTTACTGCAAGCCAAGCCTTGCTTGGCTACTTGCTACTGGCTGCCTGGAGGTTGTGCATGGCCCTGGACCTCATGCACAGTAGGCCACCACCCACTTTGCCTCTCCCTAGAAGCAGCCCTGTTGTTCCTAGCTATGTTGCCTGGTGTAGCGGTTAAGCACGCAGAACTAGTACTCAGGTGAACTGCATTCTAGTCCCCACTTAGCCATGGAACTCACTACCTGACTTTGGGCCAATCCTAGATTCTCAGCCCATTCCACCTCACAGGAATGTTGTTGTGCGGATCAGACTGGGAAAACGGAAAGGATTATGCAAACCACCTTGAGTTCCTTGGAAGGACATAGATAGGATATAAATATAATAAATACATATGCAGGACCAATATGGTATGGTTGGTAGAAGAAGGGTGGGCAGAAGGTAGATCAGGATCTACTCATGCATCTCTGAATGATTCCTAGTATGTTGGCAGTGATTTCTGACTCCATTTGTTTAATAGTGGTATCAACAAACTGATTCCTCCCCACCCTGCCAAATTATGCTGCTGAAATTTAGAAGCCTGAAGAAAATAAGGAGTGGGAGTTCAGGTAATTAAATTATTTCACCTTCATCCTGTATCAATGTCAAATCTAGCATTAGTCATGTTTGGGGTCATCGAATGGCCCCAAAGCAAACTGCCTCAGGCTAGGCAATGCTGCATATGAAAGGCCCTTGTGTGATGCTATGTTTACCCCAGGAGGTTTGAAGCAGTGTATAAATGGCTGTCATGTTTCGACAATCACTTAATGTTTCCTGCAGAAATGCATCATAATAAAGATCTGCATAACTGTGTTCGGCCTATTGTCCTGCCATCTGTATAACAGTTACTTGATTTACAAACTGAAAATCAGCAAGCTTCCATAGATGGATTTTAATTCTGTTAGCTGGAGATTTGAGCCCTAACTCTTGGCTTTCAAAAAAAGACTTCCTCTGACTGTGACTTAATCTCCTTTTTGTAGCTTTGGTTGGAGTACTCAGTTGGGGTATAAAAGTACCCCACCCCCCCACCCCCACTACTACTACTACTATTATGTAAACTTTGGGACTTCTTTCCCCCATGCATATTTTGGTTTATAGAAAGAAAACTGTAAAAAGCAGGAATTTGAAATTTGGGGAATACTTTTTATTACCCAGATTTTAACAATGTTCCTTGAAAGACTAGATCATAAGTCTACTTATGTGTAAATTACATAACAGATATAAATTAGATCCAGGTACACAATGATGAAGTATTAAACCTCATGTAACTAATTCCTGTGTTCTCTTTAATGAATAATAAAGAAGAAAGAGAATAATTATCTTTATTAATTCAATATATAGAATTAATTCAACATTTTTGTTAGTGATTTGGATAAGGAGGTGCAGAGAATGCTTATCAAAACTGCAGATGAAACAAAACTGGGCTAATACCCTGGAAGACAGAAACAAAATTTTCTGTGTATTATGATAGATTGAAGCACTGGATTTCAACCAGTGCTTTTAAATTTATTAGGGACAAATCCCAAGTTCTGCATCTAGGGAAAAGAGACTCTGTGCAGACTTACACGATGGGGGATACTTGAGTCAACAATACTACAAATGAGAAGGCTCTTGGAATTATAAATCACATGCTGAATATGAATTAACAAAGTGGCGTGGCTGCAAAAATGGTAAATGCTTACATTGGGCTACATTGGTAGAAGTTTCGTTTCAAAATCACATGAAGTACTAGTTCCCCTTTACTCAGCACTGGTTAGGTCTCATTTTAAGTACTGTGTTCAGTTCTGGGCACCACTGTTTAAGAAAGATGCTGACAAATTGGAAAATTTCAAAGGAAGGTAGCAAAGTTGTTTAGGGGACTGGAAACAAAGTCCTATGAGGAGAAACTGAAAGAACGGGTATGTTGACCCTTGAGAAGAGAAGACTGAGGGATGATATAATAGAACTCTTCAAGTACTTGAAAGGTTGTCATGCAGAGGAGGACTTCTTCTCATTCATCCCTGAGTGTACGACATGGAATAATGGGCTCAAGTTACAGGAAGCCAGATTCTGGATGACCTTCAGGAAAAACTTCCCAACAGAGAAATAAGACATTGGTCCCAATTACCTAGGGAGGTCCTGGTGCTCTCCTACTGGAGGAATTCATACTGCAGCTGGACTGTCACCTGTTAACAATAGTTTAACTTAAAGTCCTGCATTGAGCAATTGGTCAAACCTAATGGCCTTATTGGCCCATTCCAACTCTATGCTATGTATGCCTTTTGCATCAGGCTCCAGTTCATTAATTTTGGGGTTCTGGTAAATATAGTAGATCCTACAAACCTGAATTCTGTCCACCTCTATGTTAAAGTGTAGACAATGAGAGTGGAAACTTTAATTCAAATCCACATTCAAACATGAAGCTCACAGGGTAACACCATCTATCAGCATCCTCTAACCCACAAGGTTGTTCTGAGGGGGGCTGGTAAAGGCCCATAAATACCACCATAAGGAGGAAGGGTGAGATTAAATTAATGATAAGAATGCAAGATTGTTTCCTGCTTCCAGATGCAACCCACCTGAAATTCAGTATCAAAAGCTGACAGTCCTACCTTCTAGAGCTTACAAACAATCTTGAAGACAGAGGAAAGATGAGCTGAGTCTACATGCTGGAGACAATGAAGGGCCAGCTCAAGCTATTTTGTTGCCTAAACCATTCCAGCAAATGTCCCTTCCCTTATAAGTCAAAATGCATAATACCCAACATTTTCAACTCTTTTTGCCCCCTAGGCAGAAAATCCTACCATTGTCTCTCCATTTCTGGCATTAAATAGTCTGTATATACATTAAATAATTATTTGCATGTTTTAGGTGTCAGAGGTGGTACCTCACTATGGACATAGTTGGACATCACAACCACTGGATGACATTCAAACCATCACATAAAGGAGGTAAATAAGACAGGAATGCTCTGCCCGGGGTTGTTCAATGTGACATCCAAGCCAGGAATTCTGAGCTGTTGTGGGAGAAAAAACCCCAGAGTTGGATGGCTTCTAAGGCTGGGCTGCCTCTGCTCTGACAACCCAGGATTCTTGGTTCAGAGGTTATGCTAAACAACCCAGAGCCATCAGGAGTGATTGGTTGGGAGAAGGAAGCCCACTTGCTCACTTCCTTAAGACAAGCAAACAAACCTGGATGCCTTTCATCCTAATCAGGCATTCTATTCTGTCATTTGTGTTCTGATAAATTTATCCCTGGCAAAACCTAGGGGAAAAGAAGAAAGGTAACATAGTGGAAGAAAAAGCAAGCTGCAGTTTTGGCTGTGAATAAAATTAGAAATAATGAATAAAATATCCTTTAGAAATACTGGAATTTCTTTCTTAAGGAGGAAGGGGGAGTCACAAAAATGCTTCTCTGCCTAAGAATGGTAGGACCTGGGAATATACCTCACCTACCTAAACCCCTGTGTGTAGAGACCTGGGACTTCTTTACATGAGGCATTTATTGCTCTGACTCACAGGGCCCTTACACAATGTCATGATTCTCCAAATTCTTGCCCATTTTTTCTAGTTCATGACATTTTATAAAATAAAGTTTGCTATTTTCTTAGATGGCACCATTGTTCACCACAAAGGCCTATTGTATTTCCATGATTCCACGCTATACTACAGTGTCACTTTGTGTTGTGTGATATATAGAAAGCAGGAGAGTGAAACTGGGGTTGGGGGCAGGCCTTGTGAAAGATGCCCTAATTCTTCTGCAAAGAAAGCAGAAGGAGCACCCTTGGTAAAATGCCAGTTATATGCTTCATGAAGTTCTGAAGCACAAACTTTCTCCCCACAGTCAGTAGAAAATATAATGCAATGCAATAACTGCCCAGCTCCAGTAAACATGCAGGAGTGCAGTGGCAGGTGAGAGATGCTGAAAAGTATAAAGCTGCTGTGAGTGAGGAAAAGAGGTAAATGAAACTCCCTACTATCAGAATAATATACGCAAAAAGGAAAGATAGGAGACCGAACAGTGATGTGGGTAGCAATGGGTAACAGCCAGATGGCCTTGAAAGTAAACGCAATGCAGGATGACATAAACATTTGTGTGGAAAGGCCCTGTATTCACACTGGGGTGGGGAAATCTGACTGCAGGAGAATTTGTCAGGGAACTTTTCCTGCTAAATCATCTGCATTACATATCTGTTTAAAGGGGAAATAAAAACATGCCGCTATGCAGTGCTGGAAAAACAGTAAAAGCTCAAGTTAAATTGAGTCCAATAAATGTTCTATTTCCCAAGAAGGTAACTAGGCAGCCCATGAATTATCATAGTAGAATAGGGAATGTCAATCTAAAAGCCAGTTCTTGAAGTTTGCTGCTGCACTGGTTAAACTGTAACACAGGTAGCACACGGACCCGGTTGTCAGTGTTACCACATTCATTCATTACAGAAGTTATTGATTAATAGTGAGCGGGGCCATACTGGGAATACAACGTACAGTTCTGGTCATGGAGCTGGGGAACATACAGTAAAGGACAACCAAAGTGAATACCTACAACCTTAGAACACCCTAAGGTAACAGGCTAAAGAATTTTGAGGCTTTTTAGTTAAGAAAAAGATATTTGAGGTCCAAATTATGGTAAGAAGCATGGACACCTGCCCATTATCTCTGCTTTACTTCACTGGCTGACATTTGCACGCAATGGGGAAACCCAATGCAATGATGTTTCCTGATAGCTTTTTAAAACCACACATTACTAGGAAGGCCCTGGGGAGTGAGTCAGCAGCACCTCTGCATCTGTGCAAAACATGCAGTAGGGAAGGGGCCATTATCATGTGGGGTCATGATACATTTTTGCAAAACTGAATGGTGTGGAGTGGCTAGAGACAGGCGGGCTGCCTCTGCATACTGGTTGCTGGGGAACACGAACAGAAGGGTGCTAATGCACTCATGCCTGTTCCTAGGAATGTCTGATCTGGCATGGTCACAAATGCCTTAGTTGCATCCCATTTGGGCTATTGTAAGCTGGGCTATGTGGGGCTGCCTTTGGAAACTTGCTGTTTGCCACTTTGCCTTGTTGTTCCTCCTCCCTCCCAGCCTCTTTCTTCACTATTTCTTACCCCAGTTCTTTCCCCAACTTTGTCCCTTCTCTTTGTTTCTAAACATGCTGTTTCTCTACCCTTTCAAAAGTGTCGACTGGTCCAGAATGCTGTCGCCACACACGGTTGACTGGCCCCAGCTTTCAGAAGCTTTGCAGGCTTCGGGTCTGTTTCTAGCAGAATTAAAAGTGCCAGGTATAACCTGTAAAGTTCTATATGACTTGAGACCAGGCAACCTGAAAGACCACCTTCTCTCAAAAGTACCTGAAACTGAAGATCTTCTGGAGAAGCTCTTCTTTTGTGACTACCACCTTCAGAGGCTCATTAGATGGCAACACAAGGGAGGGTCTTCTCAGTGGCTGCTCCCCAGGTTGTGGAACTCTCCCTTGAGGGAGGTCAAGTCTACCCTTTCTCTGCAATCCTTCAGAAGGCAGGCAAATACCACTCTTATTTTAAAAGGACATTGGCTGCTTCTGTTCTTCAATCAAGATTGTGTTTTAATTTTTTTTATTGTTTAAACTATTTTGAACTGTTTTGTAAGCTGCCATTTTTGGTAGAAAGGCAGGAATCAATCAGTCAGTCAGTCAATATCACCTGTCAGAGGCTCCTTACCAATGGCAGGGATGAACACTCGGACCCACAGGGAAGATTAAATCGCCTTGAACCCCAGCATTTTTATTGGTAAGATCACCCAGGCCCCCTGCAGTTTACAACATGCTACCAGGTAGTGACCCTCTCAGCCAACTACAAGTTTTTAGAACATAGAGTTTTTTATTCACATGACATAGCAGCTGGTCAGGTGATGACAAAATAAGGGGAACACAGTGAGAAAGAATGTAAGAGATCTGCAGAGGAGACTTAATACAATAGCTTTGATTACAAGCGATTAACATCACTATCACTGAGGCACTGGGATTATTGTGGGTCTTGGGATGCAAATGAGGGTGATTGCAATATTGCTAGAAAAGCTTGTCTGGCCACCTAATCACTTTTGTTTGTTGTTAGCCCAAGTACAGCCTTGGGAGCCCCATTCTGCAAAGGCTTTTCCAACCAAAGTTAGTAGCCCTCTCTTAAAGGAACAGCTTGAAAATAACACTAAACAGAAGCCTGTCTTGGAATTCTGGTACTTTCTGAGAAAAAGGTGCAGAGATGTTGCATGTTTGATTTATAACACAAAGGCACATATAAGGAACCTTTTTCTACCAGGATTTATCTGCATTTCCCCAACACGCCTCACTATTTCTCTCCTCCCCTCATCTTTAACTTGTTTTTGACAAGCTAGGACCCCATGGCAGCCTTGATATAAGTAACCACATCCTCCATGGGAGTCATTTTGTGGTGTTTCTCAGATTCCCAGGGCTGGAGACCTGTACCAACACCTGAGGGCCTGAGGGCATCATGTCTGAGGGCACCCTGAAGTTTGGGGTGAATCTGCTCCTTGGGTTTCTCCAGGGAGGCTGGGCTTGACATCTAATACCTCCTGTCAAAGTATCTCCCCTCCTCCAGTGTATCCTTCAATCAGAAATGATGGCAGGTGTCAGAATCCCGGAATCTCAATTTGAGAAGAGGGAATAAAACTCGGGTTCGTGGGAAAGACCAAGCGTCCAAACCATCTGAGGCTTTATTGTATTTACCCCAAGGTTCCTGCGGTACACTCACGGTAATGCAGCATTACCGGGCAGGCAGAGATGAACTCTGCTGCAAAGCTTCAATACCATTACAGGGCATTTATAGGCACACAGGTACAGGGCAATTGATGACCGAATGCAGAGATTACAATAAGATTCTGAGGTCATCACATACAGAACAGATAAAGAAATGTCAGTCAATCACACTGTAACAATGAGATTAGTATTGACACTTAAGTTGAGTAACTTGAACCCATCTCCAGGTCTGCTCAGACATGCAAATTCAAGCCACTAGAAACTATTCGTGATAAGCTCAGACCCTTATCTCACTCTAAACATTCTGCATGATCAGGGCACATGAAGCCCTCTGGGCTATCAAAAGATTATTGTAAACTGAATTCCAACAATGACTATTTATAATGGATATTTGGGCTAAAATGGCCTACTGTAGCCTACAGCTAAAGGTGAGAGAAAGGAGGGGGGGATGCCATTTTAAACAGTGACAGCTTGGTTTTGAGAAGGAAGACAGGATTTGATCCCACAATGCAAAGACACACAAGAGTAATGCTTTTCAGACAGGATTTCCCCAAATTTTCCCAACACAGGAAACTGAGCAATGGAGGGGTTAGGGGAGAGTTTCCATGTGGGTGCTGGGTGCTACATGAAGAGATTCAGCCAGCAGAAGGAAGAGGAACCACTCTTTCTGGTGCCAGCTGAATCATACTACACTTAAAATATCTGCAGAGAAGCCAAGTGAATCAAAGCATTCAGCTAGTGCTGGGAGGAGTAGCTTCTCCATCCCAAGAGAGTCGTGGAATGCTGTGTCTCCCTTGGTGGGGAGAAAAGTTGAAATGGTGATGCCGGGGAAGTGACCACATCCCACAGATGCCATCCAGTGAATGGACAACAAAGGGGGCAATCAAGCCCTCACCCACACCTATTTTTGTAGCTCTGCCTTACACTATACATAGATAACATTTCAGGAGTGTAGCTTATATTGGGTTACATACCACCTATTTTGCATTGTTGATCAGCACTGAGCAAGTTAGGCTGACCGCTCTGCTACCTGCCATGATCATCTTTGCTTGAAAGGAATTCTGTTGAGAAGAATGTTTTAAGAACTTGAAGAGTTACTTGAGTGAAATTAGATTGCCAGCCTTTCTAATACCCACTCAAACTGTGCCTTTAACAGAAATGTGGCTCTCTCCATGGTACATAAAGCTTCACCTGCTAATCACCGCTGCATATGAACAGGCACGCATGTGAGCAACCAGTCTTTTTTCCAGGTTAGATGGCAATGTTTTGATCACCTTGTATAGTTTCATGATTCTGGAACTGACTTCAGGTCACATCAGTGGAATGCAAGTTTCCATTGTTGACTTTATGTCACATTTTAGAACTTCTCACCTCTGGTTACAGGAAAAGATGGGATTCAGATGTAGCCAAAACAACTACATCCCACCAGGAACTGAAATCCATCCCATAAGACAATCTTCATGAACTGCATGCTCTCCAGATATACAGTACTTCAATTTCCATCATCCCTAGCCAGCAGGACATTGTGAATCACGGGAGTTGTATCCTAAGGCATCTGGATGACACCAGATAGGTAAGTGCCATAAACAACTGAAAAAAGAAATTGTAGTCAAGAAACACCCAATTTCTAGGCTGTATTATCACCAATCTATATAACATGCAATTTGTTCATTTTTATGTTCTTCTACTGGAGTTCAAACTCCAGTGGGGGATAAAAACAATAAAAAATTATTAATGCTGTGCAGGTAGGTGCAGCTGCTTCCAGTTATGTACATTAAAAAGGACAGAGAAGTCATATATGCTAAAAATAAATTCAGTTGGGATTAATGTGGATAGTAGCAAGATACTGATCTACTGGTTAAAACAGATTTTTTTTTAATGACTGCTTAACAATGATCGCAAGTCAGTCTTCTGCATGTGTTTTTCTGTTCTTTGCTGTTGTGTAGTAGAAATACTTTAATTTTTCTGATTATCCAAATATGTCAGAAGAAATAATTTCATGCCTTGTATAGATTTATTCAATCAACAAGTCCACATTAAATACAATTACTGTTCTAAGTGTATTAATACCAAGGGTTTTAAAGCTTGAAAAAGTAATACTTTTTATCATGAATCCCTTCGTGTACTTTATACAGAATCAGAGTTACAGCAACTTCACTGTTTTTAGCACAGCTTCCTTCCTTCCCCTTTAATGCAGTTATGTAATAGGGAACATTGAGCAAAAAACGTATAAAGCTGTTGTAACCTACCCTGGGCCCTACTGTCTTTGAGATACATCTCAACAGTTGTGTGTCTGCACATGTGTGTATTTTACAGTGAATAGCCAAATTTTGGTGAATGTTGAAGTTTTTAGGTGAGGGGAAAGAATACAAATGCCATTTTGTAAAATCCTTCCAAACTGGTCTATATTTTCTCACTCTTTGGACAGGTACAAGTGAATTCTGACAATCCCATTTTGGTGACTCAAAATTCATGGCGCCTCTCTTGACTTGCTGGATATGAATGCCATTTGTTCTGTTTCCAGATCAAGTGCTCCTGGAGTTAGCAATCAGAAAAGATTGTGCAGGTATTCTGCCTCCCCCTCTGGTAGGGGACTGTGACCTCCTGGCAGTTCCCTTCTTTACAAGGTTTTCTGAGGAAAGGGTCTTACTGATAGTCCATTGCTTGAGGAACTTGTGAGCCTTATGGTCATGGAATCCCACCTACCCCAGGGCCCTAGTAGAAGCATTAGTTTTGTTACCATATAGCCTTTCATGTGGGGAAGAGTTTAGTGAGAAATCCCTGTTAAAACAGCAAGTTAAATGTGCAAAGATTCAAAGAAGTTTATCTATGACAAAGAGGGAAAGCAAACCTAACCAAAGGGAAGGCAACAACCACATGTACAAAACAGCAGGATCTCAGCTCAGCCCCTTAGCCAGAGGCAGTCAACCATTTCTGACGCTGGCAGTCTAGCCAGCAAATCAGAAAACTGCCTAGGGGTTGGACGAACCTTCTTAAGGACTGTAAACTTAGCTCAGATCAGTTGCATTTTTGAAGACAAGATAACCTTAGGTTGCAGGGGCAGGCTATTGACTGATCCAATGCTCTAGGGGACACTGTGGAGCTACAACATAACACTCATCCTGGTGTACAGTCTTATTCAGGTTTGGACAGAAGGAAGATTTACAATCCCCAGCACTGCCCAATAAGGAGTTCGCCCTTTCTAAACATGCATAGGATTTCCCCCTCAGGACTTTCTGATATTTTCTGTTGTGGTTCCCTTCTTTCCAGTGAATGTAAGGATAACTGTGGACTGTTGCATGCAGAAGAGGAAAAAACTTAGATAAGTGCCAGTAAACCACTTGCAAAATGTTTTCCTCTTGCCATTGACAGAACCGCTCTCAAATCAGGTTCTGTGCCAGGTTCTAAACAAAACAGGTCAGCTACCAAAAGATTCACAGCCTATTTTAATGGTGCAGTTCTACAGAAGTTTAGACAGAAAATAGTCCTTCAACTCCTACCATTCCCTGGCCATCCATGCTGGGACTTGCAGAACTTTTTCCTGTCAAAAGATCCATAGGATTGTACTCTAAGATGAGACGGCAAATTATCTGGAACTGTTAACGTTCAAATGCTGGATGGATCTTTGCAATCCTTTACCCTTTAGCAACACAAACTATCTTCAGGTGTGTATAACCTCACTGAGGTGGCAATCCTGTGCATGCTTAGGTGGGAGTACTGGCATATTTGTCTGGTTACACTTGAGTATGATTGCTCTGTTCATCAGAAAATGGTACCGTGATGTACTGCTAATGCAATTGCTCCTCATACATATTCCATTTTAGAAAGTCAGTACTGAAGTGGCACACAAGTATACCAGCCATGCAAGCTTCACATGAAAGCACTGACACCCTGGAATACCATTCTAGGATGGCTGAACAAGGACTGTGTAGGTATCTTTATGAAAACTGTAAGTAGCCCCAAGTTGCATTTTATGCTTTAATAAAAACTCTAAATGGCTCTGGCAATCTTTAAATAGATTATTGCAGAGCACCCTTTGTGGGGCTGCCAATGAATGTTCAGAAGTTGCAGCTTGGGCAAAATGTGGCAGCTAGATTATTAACGGGGACAAAAAGAGCAAACATAAAAGGCCAATTTTAGTCCACCTGAACTGACTGCCTGTATGCTTTTGAGCCCAAGATACTGGTTATAACCATAAAGCCCCACATGCCTTTCCTGACCTCAATTTACTTGGGCATTACTATCTACAACTAAGCTCTTCCTTCAACTGCCACCCAGGCAAGGAAGCAACAAGGAAGAGGGCCTTCTTAGTAGCCCCAAATTATAGAATTACAGTGGTACCTCGGCTCACGAACACCTTGGTTCACGAACAAATTGGGTCACAAACAAAAATTTCATTAAAATGTTGACGTGGGTTGCGAACTCCGCATTGGGTAGTGACCAAGATCACAGTCATCTCCCCGCACCCAGAGTGGAGAGATGGCCATGACTGCAGTTGCTTTCGTGCAGGGAAGGTGTGCGTGATCAGAGGTGAGCTCCTGCAGACAAGACGGGCACAATCTTGGCCATCCCTCCACAAACCAGCACGATCGCAGCCATCTTCCCACCCCACCCGAGTGGGGAGATGGCCGCAATCGTGCTGGGGGCGGCGGGGGAGATGGTCGAGGTCGTGCCCATCTCTCCCTCCCCAGTGCACCATTTGTGCCCGTCTCTCCCTCCCCCAGTGCACCCATGATCACGCTCGTCTCTCCCCCCCCCACCCCCCAGTGCTCCAGGATGACAGGTGCCTGCAGGGATGATGGGCATGATCTTGGTTGTGCTGTGGGGGGGGGGGAGGAAGATGGCTGCGCTTGTGCTTGGGGTGGTGGGGGAGAGATGGCCGCGATCTTTGTTGTTGTCACTTTGCTTCACATTTTTCGGATTTAAAAAATGGTTACGGATTTAAAAAATGATTAACCTTATTTACACTGAACCTTATGGGGAAATTTAACTTGGCTCACTACCAATTTGGGTCATGACCAGAGTCCTGTAACGGATTACGTTAGTGAGCCAAGGTACCACTGTATATTTCCACTGACAATCTCCAACATATTCATCTTTTCAGCACCAAGTTAAGACTGTCCTCTGTTCCCAGGCATTTAATGGCATATGATGGGGCACCTCAGTCATTTTAACAGGTCTATTCTTTCTTGAAATTATTTTGGCTTAAATGGTTTTAAATGTTGTATATTGGAATTTATGTAAGCCGTCCTGAAGCTTTGCGAAAGGATGGCATATAAATATTCTAAATAAATAAATTTTATGTTGTATTTTATTGTACTATTTCTACTGTCATATTTTTACCATTCCCATATATTTTATTACTTTTATAAATTGTTGTGAATCATCTAGACAACATGTAAATACTACTAGTAATAATAATTATTTTTAATAGCACATCACTTTGCCAGGATTGGAAGAGACTTTAGCTTGATTCAGTGAAGCCTTCAAGCAAGGTTGCATCACTGTTAGAGGTGAACACATTGTGCCAACTGAGTGAAGCCACACCAACTGGTCTCTGTCGATATGGTCTCTGCCGTGGTGTACCCCGATAGCGGTCCATCTGCTTCCTTCCATCAAAAGAGGCTGCCCAGGGCAGTTGGGAGGGGGCAATTGTACAAATGTGTCACTCTAATACTACTAACTACTAATCTGCTAACTACTAATACTACTAACTACTAATCTCCTTTGGCACAAGTCTGTATGGATGGCAAAGTTATGTGCTGGTTAGAAATGCCTGTCCTTGCAGTCTTCAACCACAATAGCCAAAGCCCTCTAGACAGTATAGAACAATGAATAAAATACAATAAAATTTCACTAGAGATTTAACACCAAGTTTTAAATGACTTAAATAACTAAGACAGGCTAATACAAGTAGGCCTGTTAAAAAAGATGACATAACCACCTCCTTCTGTTTTATTTAAAGCTATTAAATGCCTTGGGCATTTAAATAGAGGGCAGTCTTTGGTGCTGAAATGATAGTATAGTTGGCACTAGACAGGCTTTGTCAAAATGAATTAGTGTGTTTTTTAAAAAAATAAAATAACCCAGACGGGTCACACTCCTAATAACCCGTTAGTAGTCATGCCAGGTTTCAGATGTCTAGGTTGCACACTTTTGGTGCTATAGTACTGATGCATGAAAGGACTGGCACACACTCTCTTTTTTAAATTATATATTACATTTACATCTCACTTTTCCTTTCAGCAGCTTAAGGCAGAGCATATGATAATCCCTGAAATTTTATCTTCATACTAACAATCATATAAAGCAGAGTAAACTGAGTTGAAAAGTGGCCTAAGGTTCCCATTGTGAACTTCATGGTTGAGTGTAGAACAAAACCAAGATCTTCTTAGCTTGCACCTACATCCCTGCAATTTGTTATCTATACTGCAGCTATCTTATCTTCAGTGGATACATGCTTTGTAGCTTTTATGTGCTAGAACAGAAGAACTTGTTGGTGACAAAATGAAAAGGCCAGAAGGCAGGATAGGAAAGCTGAGCTCTGAAATGACATGGGCAAGACTTACTTGCTGCTATGCACCTTCCGAAGAACCAAGAGTTATTTATTCTTAATGCATATTTGCAGGCTTACCACCTCCTAAGGAGCCAAGGACACCAGAATAAATGGGTTATTTATACAAAAGATTCAAAACATTGTTTGACTTAGCTGGCACATAATGAGAAGCCACTGTGAGTTAATTTCCCCACAAGTGTTTCTTCTGGGGAAGTTTTTCTTAGTGTGGCAACACTTGTCATTTTGAATATTCAAACTGTGCCAGGTATGTGGTAGCTTCTCCTTACATGCAAATACACCAGACAACTCATAGGTTCCTAGCACTTGTCAACTACCCTAACAACCCACTGATGCTGAATTCCCATGTAACAACAAGCTATAGCATGTGGAAGGCAAGTGTCACCAGAACAAGAAACCCTATAAGGAAATTCACCCATGGTGGTTTCTTGTTATGGGTGAACCAGACCTTTGACAAGTCCAAGCAGAAACTATGATCTTCAGCTACCTTAAGGTACAGTAAAAAAACTAAATAACACAAATAATATGGCAGGGAATGTCAAATGAGGGCATCTACTTTTCATACTTCAAATAATACAATGCACAATGATGACAAGGTTGTGCATTTTTCTTTTAAACTCTGCCAGCAACATCCTGCCTTCAAGTTTCTGGGTTTTATGCTATCAAAAAGGAACTTGTGTCTCTCTTTCTCTTACATTAGGGTAATTTGCATTAAAAAGCACAGACATTGCCTTGATGGTGCATACAGGTATCTTATTTTATACAATGATCACAGCAAGATTTTAAAGTATCATCATGCAAATATGGTTAAAAGATAGGTCACTCCTTATCCTGTTAGTTACTTTAGGTCATTTGTGTGGGCAGCGATGTAGCTAATGGAGAATGAACAGAGCAGGAAGGTATTTTTTTTTCTTTTTGGCCTTGCCAAAAAAACAGACAGACAATCCCCAAACCTGAAAATGTCTTGTATCTTCCATATGTGCCCTAGTTTGCTCTGCTGGGCATCTACTGTTCTTGGAAACTATCATGCAGGGGCCAGGATGGGTGTGCATTCAGGGTGTGAGGTTTGAATTGAAGCTCTGCGCACTCACAAACACCTTTATTTCATGTATTCGCTTTCCTCTCTGAAAAAAAGGCACTAGAACCACCTGCTGTTGCATTTGGAATGTTCTCCTTAAGAATGTTCTATTGTTTCAACTGTATTCCTCAAAAAGCTGTGTCCTACTTGCCATTGTTATTATAGCTAGGGTGCCCTACGGGCACAAGGCTGGGTTCAAATGATTATTGTTAGGAACGGAATCAGGTTCCAAGGAATGACGACACAGGAGACAAAGTACCAAGCAGCACTAGTTTATTACGTTCTTGCAAGAGTGGGCGCCCACCTCACAGGTATCGCGCCGGTTTGACAAAAGACATTGCCTTTTATTCCCTTTCCCCAATTCGCAAGCCCTGCCTCTTTTCGCCCATTGGCTGGGTTACTAAGAGGTCACAGTCTTCTCTGTCCATCTCTATCATACTAATCCTTGGTATGTTCCCCCACCCTCTCATGCATCCCATGTTCATGCTAATAAGTCCATTACCTATGAGAGGTGTGTCAGTTATTATTTATAAGCCTATTAAGTGTGCGCACTACTCACTGTAAGTTCACTAGTTCATCTTGACCTTACATCAGTCCTAAAACTACTGGGAGGATGAGATAGGGAATAGCCAACTTTCTTCCAAGCCAATTAACTTTTTAGCCAGCTTCCAAGAGACAGTTACCTGCTATCTTTTACAAAAGCAATAGTTTCACCATTCCCTACAATTCCCCTCCTCATTTCTTCAGAAATTTGATGCGAGAAATACTATTCTTCTTGTGCTCAAACTTAGTTGTACTACATATTAACTTGCCTTTGTTTGCTTACCTTAGTACTAATTCAAACCTGTCTACTTACATCTACTTCCTATTTACAAATCTCTTTATACAGCTCCTTACTCTGGCCTTTGGCCTTGTAAGGGTCTTTTGCTCTGGTCTTTAGTAATCCATCATTCTTCTGCTTAGTAACAGTAATTTTCCTTCTTTCACATCATGGAGGGAAAAGAAGCCACTACATTACTCCTCCCTGTACATACTAGTTGTGAGCCATCTAAGTAGCATAATTGTCCTACCTGGCCTAGGTTGTAGTGACTTCTAAACCTGGCAAGGGTGGCTGGCTGGCATGGTTTGCACATCACCCTGGCTTGTTCTACTCTTTCAGGGTGGTTTATAAACCACCCACACTGACGTTCAGGGTGGTTTGTACTAGCCACCCACTCTCCCTGAGTTCAGATACCTCAATAATGCAAGTCCAGAGAGGGTAACCATGTGATTTGCAAGCATAGGTGAGAAAAATAAGGCACTCTGGATTATTTTGCAATTATGTGGGAAGATTTTTTTTAAATAATTCAGCCAGACTGAGAGTCAAATGTGAATCTGGTAAGCAAACCACCAGCCTGGTACAATGTTGTAGTGCAGTCACGGCTTGCAGCGTCAAAGTGCCATAGCATTTTTATATTAGCAGAGACCATCTTCCACTCCCCTGGTCCCTCTGCACTTAAGCTGCAATCCACAGTATAATTGTAGGGGAAAAGGAGCTCTCACTTATGTAATGCAAAGTATTTGGGGCTATTTTGAATGGGCAATTAAAACCCTTTAGATTTATGGAAAACCTAGCCTGGTAGAAAAGAA